AATAAATAAAATCTTTTTTAAAAATTCACAAAAAAAGAAAATTTCATAAATTGAATGGAAAATAAACACTTTGTGAGAATTCTTCACCTTGACAATTAGGAAGGGAGTCTCTTCTAGGGCACTCAACCTGAAAACCATGTATCCTTTCACATAATGACTCAGCCTACCTTATGCCCCTGGTTGCTGGGGTTATAATCACAAAAGACTTTGTCTTCCTCCCTTTGTCCTGGGGGTTTTAATAGACTGTTTGAAGCTGTTTTCTTTCTCCTCTCTCTTCTACTTATCCCCCTGGGACTTAGTTTCCAGATCATTCCTCTCAGTCTCTGTAGTACACAAACACCAAAACTGAGATCTGAACTGAGGTCTCATTTAAGCATTGATAGTCTTTATGTCTCTATTTTTTCTGATGCGGGTGATTTAAATTAATTAGCAAATGGACTGTTCAGAAAGTGTAATCAGACACATTAAGTCCACAGAGTAGAATTGCTTTTCCCTCTGTGTTTAGTGTCCCACCAACAAGGAGTTGGTCAGTAAACTGCAGGCTCTCAGGAGGATTCCTTTGTGGGTTTAATCTGGTTACAACTACCAAAACACCTACTGTATACAGCAGAATCCCATGTCCCTTGTCCTGAAACTCTTGAATCTTTGTATTAATTTTTCAAGTAACAACAGTACATCATAAGTAGAGGGCAAATTTGAAGCTGTTTTTCTAGCAGAGGTGAAGATTTACACAAATTTCTCTCACTTTCCCCAGTAGATCCCACAAATAAAAAGGGCAATAAGATTGTGGCAGGGCCCTGAGCCCACAGAAGTTCAGCTTGTGGCAGTGACACTCATGCTCTTCCACTCAGACAATGACCAATCCGATGACTTTTGGCATCTTGGGCCCATATCACTAACAGGCTGAAATAATCATCAAAGATCTTTGTTTGACTCCAAGATGGCTATTTCCAAAAACTATTCCTGCTCCATGGCCTTGACAGCGAAACAACTCAGCACCACCTCAACCTCAAATTTGTCTGCCTTCCAAAACATATCTCTATCAGTCTGGAAAATCAGGAATCAATGGGAAATTTCTTTCCAAACTGTTAGCTATCTCCAGATTTTCCAGCTAGTGGGAACCTGAAAAATCCCTAACTACTAGTTTTCTATGGAGGGAGACCAAAAAAACATTTTTTAATAGATTATCCACAAGTGTGGGACAAAACTTTGTGTTCAGAGTTAAGATATGCAATAGTGAAATATAGAACACACACACACACACATATACACGCACACACATACACACACGCACACACACCTTTATCATTACTCACCAAATCAGCCTCTTCTTTCCTAAGACAAAAAGAAGTCCCCATCTGCCTGAGATTCACATATAACTACTTCTATCATAATTAAGAGATTCAGCAAAGAAAGAAAAATCCTCAAAGGAAAAAAAAAAAGAAAGAAAGCCATTTCTAAACCTATAAAAAGATCATATCCAGGAAAATGCGGCTGATAGATGATTATGATATTATATCATATTACATGACATGATTATAACATGGGCAATAGCCAGAGGCTGAGTACAGGTGGTCTGAAAGATTAAAAAAACACAAATGTATGAGTGTTCCTTATAATAATGACTCATCCCTCTTGGGGAGCAGCTGTTCCAGACCAGGCCAGTCCTAGGACATCCTGTGAAGTTTTAGCAGTGCCCCAACTGATCTTAAGGGTTAGGTCCAGTGGGACATTTGGGTCAGAACTGCTAGAACCATGCTGTCCCTTCCTTTCTCCCACCTGGCCACCACCACCAGCAGTCTGGAGGGCTTCCTGTGGAACAGGGGATGACTTGTGACTGGGCTGGACATCTCAGAATCACTGTAACCACAGCACATCCCACATTCCTGAGACTGGAGTCAAAACATTCTCCTATGTAGTGGCTAATCATCCAGAATCAGAGTTTCTGATCCAATTGCCTTATTTCCCTGTACAACTTCTAGTTTCAAGCACAAAAGAAAAAAAAATAGGGGAGAAAAATCTGGGCTCTTTTATTAAAGTCCTACTAAAACTGAAAGCAAACAGAGAAGTCAGAATTCCATGCAAAAATGCTCTGCTGGCATTTGGGAAAATTCATGTGAAGCCAAAGCTCAGAGGACAAGAGGGAGCCAAGGAACAGAAAACTCAGAAAAAAGCAGGAAATATCACCCAACAAGATTTCACCACGTACTGGTAGGTTTGTGTAAACTTGGTGCTCGAGGTAAACCAATAATTAATGGCTACGAAACCACCACTTGGTCATTCAAATGGCCAAGATCCTTAAAATACAGACATCCGGTTGAAACTATTTCAGTAAATGGTGTTCCTACCACTTCTAAATTCATAACCATAAATCTTTGGAATTAAAGTATATTCTTGACCATTCTACCTAGACAAGAAAGCAGTCACAGTTCTATGGACTCATGGATCTGTAAAAACAAGGCTGAATTATCATTACTTTTTTTTTTCTTTAAATCTTGTTACTCTGGCTCAAGTCAATCTTCTCATATTTAAAAAGATTTATTCTCACATGAGCAATGTGATCCATAGAATCAGCAGGCTATTAAAACTTTAGCTTTTTTTTTTTTTTTGGCTGTTTTCCATAAACGTCTCAAACATTTTTTTTCTTATAAATATCCAGTCTGGGGGCAGTAAAGAGTGATGGGACATGTTTATTTTGGGAAATAGTCAACAATCTCAATAACCATGACCCATCTTTGCATACAAGCCAGTCTGGTAGATTTGCCAATCCTCTGAATAGGAGGTAAAGGCCGTAACTGGCTGCTTTCAGTACTCTTAGGTGTCCCAATTTGTAATCAAGTATCAATTGGCATGGACTCAAATATCTGTGCGTGATAACACAAAACTTAGGGTTAAACATAGATGTATCTAAATTTCATCCAATCCAATTTCTCAGTTTTTCTTAGGCCAAGTGTTCAGTGAGCCCAGGCATACTTGTAAGTGTGGGGCCAGCCATTGTTTGAGAACTCCATATTTGAAGGGAATATTTACTCCATGCCATATTTACCGCGTGATCTCAGGGACAAAGTCAAAATCAGAACCCCTTCAAGGTTCTAGCAAGCACATATCATCACTTTGTGCTCAAAGCAGTCTTGTTCATCACCTTCAGTTTGGGGTTCCTGGCATTGTCAACCACTCTGCACAGATTTGCTTGGCTGCCACCTTCACACTTGAGGGTTTTTTCTAGAAGAAAAACATAAGTTTTCAAGTTGCAATTTTATTATCACATATTCCAGATGTTTCGGGTAGATTAAATGAAAATAAAATTGTATAAATCACATGCAGTCATAGGTGATTTCAAATGCTCCTGAATGACATTAAACATAAGGAATTTAACTTTAGTATTGCTAACATAATCTCGACTAACTACATTATCCCTGTTGTCTGAACTATCTGTAAACCATTCAGGCCGTTCACCAATTTCTGGTTCCCTCCTTCCTGGCACATAGTAGGATCATACTTTTGACCCTGCTGAACCTAGCATGGGTCTATGACTCGCTTTGGCCAGTTAATGCAAGCAGAAATGTCACTGTGAGAAGGAAGCTGTAGGAGCCAATGCCATTTGACCACATTAGTTTCTTCTTCAGCCACAGTGATCATCCATGCTCTCAGTGTGGCTGCTCCACCATGCTAGATCCCTGAATGAGGGTGACAAAAATATGCAAAATGGATAACAATATGAACAATAAATACATATTACTTTAAATAATTGAGCTTTGGGAGTTGTTTGTTATGGCAACAGAGCCTAGGGAAAAAATATATGGGATATGAAGCACTATGGCGAATGTTACTATAATCTAAAAGAGAAGAAATTTGAGGCTATATCTGTTACACTGTAGCATATATGAGTATGTATCCTTTTATATATATACACATTATAATACTACATATTCTATATTACTGTATATTATTATATTGCATATATCATTGTTAGCCGCCTATTAAAACAGACTTCTCTCCCATCTCCTCTACAAAAAAAAAAAAAGAAAAAAACCCTTCTCAAATCAATCAGATAATCTAAATGCTGGAAAATAAATGCTCATGAATCTCAAATTAACGGAGACTCCCCCCATCAAAAAAGTACTTGATCCATTTGCCGAAATCATTTGCAGAGTTCCACATCTCCTCTAAGACCAAGTACATTAATCAAACACAGGGCTTCAAGGGGGCTTCATTTTGAGCAACCCAACGGACAAATAAATTAGCTGCCAATGGCTCTTTTGTAATGTAAGAGGACCAGGCTGACCCAAGGAGACAGGAGTAAATCATGAAGGAAACTGTCCACGCAAAAGCAGCATTTGGGCACCTGAAGGAAACCAAGGAAGCCATCCTGCGTACTCTCATTTCCAAGAGCGTAAGCCAAGCACATGTGTGTTTATTCGCTAATAAGAAGCTGCAAATGTCCCGTGTCTGGCTGATTTCTTATGTGCTACAACCATACAGATGTTTATGGCTGGGTACACGTCTGAGTGTTGTGCTCAAATGCGGCAGCTCATAAACTTGATCACGCATATTATACCTATGATCTGTAAGAATGTTTCCCTTCCACACAGTGTATTTCTGGAAGGTTTTCTTCTCTCTCGCCTGGATGGATTTCCTGAGGTCCCTCATTGAAATATGGGCAGAACTGTCCACTTCTACTTTGCAGAGCTTTTCGCTGGTGACTCAGTGAGGGATGATGTCATATGTTATCCAGCACCGGGCTGGTGTGGCTCCCTCTGCTCCCCTAAACCATTCCCTCTGTGTCTGGGGCGGACAGCACTCCCCTGTCGTCAGCGTCTTCCCAGCCAGCCCCAGGCAAACAGCCTGCCCAGCAGCAGATGAAACAGGAAGTCTGACAGCTTGAGTCTGCAGTGGGACCCCTAGTGTTTTCCCACTCCCTGCCCTGGCAGCGTTCCCCACAAGTACAAACACACGCACACAGAGCTCCCATTGTTGCAGCCTTCCCCAGCCCACTGATCCTAATATGGAATGCAGCAGGAAACCCATGATTTCCTGATACTCGCAAGCTGGAGGAAGCAAGGGGGAAACTCCATTAAAAAGCCCAGCTTCCCTCCATGTTAGATGCGAAGGGGGAAAGGGGGCGAGGCTGAGCAGGATCCCAACGTGTCCTCGGCCGGCCGGGCGGGCGGGCGGGCGCGGGGAGCGCCAGGGGGAACCGCAGGCGGTTGACATTTGTAGACGGCGAGGCCAGCAAGCCCCTAGGATTCCGCGAGGATGCGGGTTTCTCAGCTCAAACTAGAGGGGAACAGGGACAGAGGCTTCTGAGCATTCTCCCAAACGTGCGTTGCCTTTCCTGACCAGTATGGTAAGCGCGAGGGCACGTGCCAGCTGCCCGGGCCAGGTCCGCGCCATCCCAGGCTCGCGAAGCGAGGCAGAGTGACCGGGAGCCCGCCCGCCGCCCGCCGCCCGCCGCCCGCCGCCCGCCCGCCGCCCGCCGCGCTCCATGGGCTTCGGGAGCAGCCGGAGGACCCACGGCGGCGGCACGGTCCCCGCAGCTGGAGCCGCCGGGATGCACTGCCCGGAGGGAGGCGACCGCAGCTGCGGCTGCAGTGGCACCGAGGACAAGAAGATGCTGAAGTGTGTGGTGGTGGGGGACGGCGCCGTGGGGAAGACCTGCCTGCTGATGAGCTACGCCAACGACGCCTTCCCAGAGGAGTACGTGCCCACTGTGTTTGACCACTATGCAGGTAAGGAAAGGTGGGGAGCCTGTCCCTGCGTCGGGGGGCGGGGGGGGGGCACCGTGCGGGCGGCCACACCCCAACTCACAGGGGCCTGCTTTATTTCTAAGAGCAGGCAGCGTGGGGTGCGGGCCGGCAGTGGCCAGGTCCCGGAGCGGAACGCACAGCCAAGATCTTTGCTGGAACTATTAGGACAATTCCTACACCGATTGGCATCCTAACACTCCTCCCCCCGCCCCCCTTAAACCCTTAAATCAGATGACTAACACTGGGGAAATACCCTGGACCTGCTCTCCAGGCATTGGGGCCAGAGATTTCACTCCATGTGCGCCTGGAGATTGCTAACTTTTTACGCAAACGTTCTAAAATGTAGTGTGATTGCAAGACACTTTTTTTTTTTAACCAAAAAAAAAAAAAATCACCACTAACCACACAACTAGGGAAAGAAGTTTGCCACTTTTCATATATGTACCCCATGCCATTCATAAATGAAATGGTAAGATGCACAAGCATTAGAACACTCACTTTTCTGTAACGATCGGTGGCTGTACTATTATTGTACTTTTTTTATTTTCCTGGGGCTGTAGATGGGGGGGGCGGTTGGAGGGAGGAATATGAAATATTGGAGGGAGGAATACGAAAAGGTTTTAAGTGTCCATTAGGCAGTATGTATCTTGAATTAAAAGGAACATGTTTAATTAGTACGTTTTTAAGGTAAAAGATAAAAATAACATTTGAATCATTTTATTTTTTTTATTTGAATCAGTTTAAAGTATGTCCAGAAAGGATGAAATTGGACATAAAATATTTTAGGGCGTGACAGTTAAAATAAGGTAGCCACCACAACTCAATCTTTTCAGTTACTTTTGTTTTCTGGGTGTTCTAAAGTTTGTAGGTGTTCTTATCAATGGGATAGCTTATCTCAATTTTTCCATGTTGATTCTTACTTTTTCTCTTCATTTCCAAAGCAAATATTGTTCTTCAAAAGCAAGTTCATGAAATTCTTCAAGTTTACAGTAGCCTAACTTTATAGGTTTTTTTTTTTTCAACAAAATGATCAGCTTCGGTGAGTTATCAGAGATTTGAGACTTCATAAAAGGAAATTCTCCCTTCCTTCACCTTGGCTTTGGGTCAGGTTCAGCAAAGGGGAAGTGGCCCACAGGAAACCTGTGTGAATGTTGGCTTTGCTATGTGGCCATTTGAAATCCTCTCTGTTAGGAAGTAGCTTCTTTTCCAGAGCTAAACAATCACCTAAGTCTCCTCCTTCTCCTACCGTTACAAGATTTATGACAATATTACATAGCAGATTGGGAGAGTACCACAGTGAAAATAGTATCTACTTCCCAGAAGGTTGTTTTATATTTGTAAAAATTAAGAGCAAATTTTAAGGCTGGCTCCCTTAAGCTTTTCTGAAAATATAATGACTGCGCCCAGAGAAGAATATTTTAATGAAAACAGAATAAAAAGAAAAACAAACCAAAACCAAAAAAAAAAAAGCCTAATAAGATTAAAAGTAAGTAAGTAACTAAGTAAGTTACCAAAATACTTGACATGGAAACATCTTACCAAATTATTTATTCCACATCCTCTTTTCTGCTAGGAAAGGAAAACTGGCTGGTACCTAATTTCAAAAACTTTTAGATTGGGGGCGGGGAGGGGGGGCAAAGTCTACTAAAGGAAGAGACCTCAAGTCCTTTTGAAAATGATGTATCCCAATCCCCATCTATTGGTTCAACCAATTATCAGTCTATATAAAGAAAGTCTCTCAGAAAGAAAGAGGATAAAACCATCTTTAGAGATAAAGTCAGCCTATAAAAAAAATTTTCGAGATTGAGCAAAGGCTGGACTACCCCTGGATTCCACAAAGATGAAATTATTTTATATTTCAATTATCTATATACTTACTGTTATTTGTGCGTCAAAGCATCTTAAAGATTTTGGCTGCTCTATGATTTTACCTCTCAAGAAACTGCAGCCACTCTACCCAAAGCCATACACTGCGCATAGTAGGCATTTCCAAACACTGTTGCTTTGATTCACACTTTGTACCTTTTTAAGTACACAATCATCCCAGGTGCTTTCAGTTAGTTTGTAAAGGAAATGAAGCCATGAGCCTCACATATCTAGGATCGTAATGAAGTGAACATTTCCATTCATAAGGAGATCTTCTCCATCACAAAGACAAGCTCCTTGTACCACCAGCCTCCCCATATATGAGCTCATTGACTGTAAAGCCCTACGCAGTTACCTGAAATCCTGCAGTCAATTGTAAAAGAACTAATGCTCTCTTCCTTATGTGAACAAGTATCAGGTATCCAGTCCCTGGGTCCTACTCGCCCATTCTGAAATTACAAGCAGCAACTGAATTGCCCAGTCTTTAGAAAATTGCAGCTTATGTCTAAGAGAAACTACCCCTGGAAAATTTTTCCCTAACAGCTGCCCACCCTGGGAAAGTAGGGATATAACAATAAGAAAAGCTGCTCAAGGTGGTGGGCTTTGAAGTCAGAGAGCTCACTCCTAATACTAGCACTGCCATTGCTGTGTGGCCTGAGCAAGTCACTTAACTTTCTGTCCCTCAGTTATCACACACACACACACACACACACACACACACACACACAAGACAACATTGGTATTAGGAGTGTTTGTGAGAACAAAATAAATTAATATATGTGCAGTTCTTAGACCAGTGCCTCACATGATAAGTGTTAGGTACATAGCAGCTATTATTGTTAAGAATAAGTTCTCTACACTTGCACACAGTTATGGAAAGAAATTAGAATGTAATTAAAAGATGACGGGGCAGCCCCGGGTGGCTTAGAGGTTTAGCGCCACCTTCAGCCCAGGGCCTGATCCTGGAGACCCGGGATCGAGTCCCACGTCGGGCTCCCTGCAGGGAGCCTGCTTCTCCCTCTGCCTGTGTCTCTGCCTATCTCTCTCTCTCTCTCTCTCTCTCTGTGTGTGTGTGTGTGTGTGTGTGTGTGTCTTATGAATAAATAAAATCTTTTAAAAAGGGAAAAAATTTTTTTTAAAAAATAAAGACTACAGGCCACCTGGGTGGCCCAGTCAGTTAAGCATCCAACTCTTGGTTTCAGCTCAGGTCATGATTTCAGGGTCCTGAGATAGAGCCCTGCATCAGCTCTGTGCTGGGCACGGAGCCTGCTTGAGATTCTCTCTCTCTCCCTCTCCCCCTCCCCACCTCTAAAATAAAAAGATAGAGACTACAACAAAGGAAAATGGCAATTCTAAGAGTATCCTCCAAATGGAGTAGGAATAAGATGAAATGTATGTATTGTCTTTATAATATAGTAATCATGTGTATTGATAATTGATAAATGTGCACAAAGTAAATAGAAGTGGAGTATTAAATTGGGAGGGGAAATAGCAGTTTTGCATGAGTGATTATAAAAACAATTAATGACCAACCAAAAAAAATATTTAAGGTTTATGAATCTTAGTTATTTTTCCTCTGCCCGAATGTACATCTCCTCCAGGCCTCTTTCCTTGGCTCCATAAGGAGAATTCCTTGCTCCACTTTCAACCCAGCTCCAGAAATTTGCTTACATTTCTAGAAGGCAACTTATACCACATAGAGCAATCTACGTGTTTCTTTGTTTTTCTTACTCCCACTCTGCTCTGAGCTCCTGAGGGAGAAGGTCGTGTCTTGCCAAATCCCCTGGTCAATTCTTATCTTACTGGATTGGATGGCTTCAAGACTGTTTCTTTGCTTGGTTACTGGGATAACAATGTCTCCTGGCTTTTATTCCCTTCACTGGCAAATCTCTCTCCATCTCCTGCTCCATCTCTTCCCAACCACTGTATGTTGGCAAACCTCAATGTTCAGTCCCTCGGTTCCCTTCTCGATTTACGTTCATGCCCAAGTTGGTTGTACCTAATCTCATGGCTTCGATTATTATTTATATACCAATGGCTACCACATTTATATCTCTGGTCCCAATATTCCCCTGAGACCCAGACTCATATATCCAAATGTCCATCTGAATATCTAATAGGCATCTCCAACTTAATCTGTTAAAACAAAATTCTGTAACTCCCCCAATCTACTCCTCCCTTAGACTTCCCCATGCAAGTACATGACCACAATCTTGAACCCAGTTGCTGAGAACAAAAACTTCAGTGCTATCCTTGGCTCCTTTCTTCCTATGACAATACCCCTACTACTGATCAGCACAACAGTCAAAATACCTCATTACGTCTAGCACCTCCATTGTGTCACTCTCATCTAAGTCACCATCGTTTCTCATCTAAACTACTGTAATCACCTCTCAATTCCCTGCTTCCAATCTTGCCCTCCTCTAGTCAGTTCACACAGCTGGCAAGGGGGTGATCCACAGCTCAAATCTCCCAGTCCCTTCACACTCACAGACCCCATCATTCATCATGTTCTACAATGTGCTCCATGACTTGGCCCTGTCGTCTCTCCATCCTCACCTCCTAACTCTCCTCAGTATTTCTCTCTAGCCAAACCAGCCAACTTCGTATGCCTAAAATACTCCGATATCCCATTTTCCTTGAAGACTTCACACTTGCTCTTCCCCCAGCCTGACACTATTCCCCTAGATCCTCTCTAGCTTTAATTGGCCACATTATTTAACACATCCACACACAAAAGCACAGACACACACACACCGAGTTACTCTTTAACCTCTTACCTGCTACATCTTTATTCATGACATTTCACACTACTGGCATTATACTTCTATTTATTTGCTTACCATTTTTATTCCACGCTTGAATGTGAACTTGATGAGGACAAGGACTTTGTCTTGTTCACTGCTCTATCTCCAGCCTTTAAAAAAAGACCCCAACATAGAGTTGATTCTCAATAGATAGTTATTGAATAAATGAAGTGGTATGTCTTAATCACCTTTGTCCCTCTAGAACTTAGGTAATTTCTGGTCCATTGAAACTGCTGAATAAATGAACAAACTGCTGGTCCAATCTTTAGGAATGAACATGTTTAGAAATTTAGTAAACTTGTTCTATTT